TTAAGTTTTAGACTGATGAAAATGAATAAAGGGCCTCACAAAATCACTCCCTCACGTGTTTGCACTCGATTGAGATCACTCTTTTTCTTACCACTCGTGTTTCACTCAATAGAATTGGCTTTTACCCGATAATTAACTCACGAAGCCTCTTTCCTCTCGCTCTCAGTAACCCTAGTCAAGAACTTCTCAAACAATAATGTTCACTAGCAGCCCTAGCAAATAAGAGTACTACAAGTGCTAACATGACCATTCAAGCTCCATGATAACTTCCTGCATGATCGGGCCTAGTTCTCGCCTTTTTTTCTTTTCTTTTGTTTTTTATATTTTCTAGAACGACTTTTTCCAACATATGCTTGTTGCAATAAATAACAAAACTTAACACAAGAACTGAAAATTAACCTTTCCCGCCCTGCGCTTAAGAACACAAGATCTAATTCATCTGATTCTCACACAAGAAAGGAGGATATGTGTGTCACTATGTTGAATCGGAGCTTACCACATGATATAAGCCAAGGCTCTAACTCCTAGACTTAAACAATCAGAAACACAACAAAGATCGATTAAAAGCAAAATGATCACAAAACATATAATAACTCAAACCTAATCCACACGTCAAGAAGAGGGCCATGCATACGAAGGACTATTAGGCTAGGGTGATGAGCTAGCAGAAAACGTCGGGTTCTTCTTGCTGAATCGATTACACGGTCAAGAAAGAAGAAGAAGAGAAGTTGGTGTTTGAACAACCAATTCTTGGGTTTGTATTTCTGAATAAAATCGTTGATTGCCTTCTAAAAGACTTAATTCAGACCCTTATATAGGCTAAAAAGGTTTTGGGCCTAAAATAACAAGGAAACCCGAGTTTTGGAGTAAAAGCACATAATCCACAAAGCAAACAGAAAATAGTTCGTCTGCAGCCTAGGGCAAAATACCCTATCGTGACTCAAACACTTATCGTCCCATGAATAAGTCATCCTCAACACTGGGTGTTTGCCTAAAACAGCCCCAACACCAATGATCATCACTTATCGTCCCACGAACAAGTCAGCCTCCATTTTGGTGAAGTTCTAGGCCAAATAAGCTTGAAGACACCCCTTGAATGCCTTCTCAAACCTCTAAAACCTTCATCTTCGGACCACGATCATTGTATCTTCTTCGAACTCGATGGACATCTTGTGAGGCGATCCAGGTTGCATCAACATCATTCGCTCTTAACATTAATATGTTGACATATTGGGGTCCCTATAATATAAAATTTACTTACAAATCTCATGATCGTACTCAGAAACAAGATAAAGCGCCAAAATATAGCAGAGAAACACACATGAACCAAATAGTGAGCTAACAGATGATAACCGATAACTTGCTAACACTCCCAAGCAAAATCCCGAATTGGATCCCAAATTCCACGGTAAAAAGTACGACACCAATAACACGCTCTATGACTCGTCCATGTGGAATTGATGTGGCAGGCTAGGTTGGTTTAATGAACATAGTCCGAAATCGGTGGCCCATTAGAGTGGCCAACCGGCCTCTCCCAAACTAACGGAGAACTCTCATCATACTGTGAAGAGTGATCGACCAAACAAACCAAAATAAACTTCCTCGATCTCCCCCGTGTATATTTGTTTCCTCATATGTTTATTATATATGTAGATAAGAGTTGAAGGCGACGTCTTCGTGGGCGCTTGTCTTCATCGAATAGTGTCACCGACAAGGTAGCAGACGATCCCAAATCCGAGAAGAAGAGGGTCGTCTTTCCCTCTACATCCTTCTCTTAAGTTTGGGTTGTCGTTGTTGCAACAGGGAGGCGCAAAACGAGGATGACGAACCACAGGGAAAGGCGACTCTCTTCTTCTCTGACTTGTGAGCGTCTGGTACCTTGCCAGTGGCACTATCAGATGGTCATAGAGGCTCGCGACGACGACGAATTCCTTGCCCTCTGTCAAATCAGAATAAGTGTGGGAGGAAGCAAATGTAGACCGCTAGGGATGGCAATTTTGACCTGACCCGATTTACCCGACTCGTTTGGCCTGTTTTGGGGCAGGGCCGGTATGGGTACCTCTCATCGACCCGATCCATTCTTGACCCGTTCCTGCCTAAATTACATGTAATCTTAGTCAAATTACTTATGATTTTCCTCTTATTACATCATATTTTAGCTATAATAAAGTTGTAAATAAATAAAAACCTCAATTTCTCCAATAACTTAACTACATTTTATCATATAATGCTTTCTTTCTTGGTCTTTTAATAAAAATAACGAATATTTCTAATATGTTTCGCATTAATTATATACCCATTGGGTCGATCTTCCCCGACTCGCGCCCCATGATAAATTACCCGACCTGCCACGGGGCAGGTATGAGTATTGAGATACCCGCCCCAGACCTGTCCCATTGCCATTCCTATAGACCGCATAGACAGGATCGATGAAGGATAAGTCACCGGGAGTAATTTTTGAGAGACCATCGGAGAGGGAGATCGATGAAGTTCTCTTTCGGTTCATTTGATCTAACTCTGTTTTCTTCTCTCTGACTTCTCCTCAAACTCTGTTTTCTCTTCTGCCGGACTTCCCCTATTTCTCTGTTTTCTTATTATTCCCAACATTACCTTTGAACGACACAATTTAGGCCACTTCTCCTCGATCAGATAGGTTGGGCAGGATTTAATAAATCCAGTCATGCCACATTATGTCCATGTGGACCACTCAAAAATAGCATTACCCATTAGGGATGGCAACAAAACCCGAACCCACGGGTATTCTACCCGACCCAACTTGGTCAATGCGGATAAAACCCGCATTGACAGGTTTCAGGCGGGTTTGGGTTTAAACCCATACATTATTCACCGGATTGGGTTGGGTTTGGGTTTAGAGATACCCGACCCATGGATACCTGCTCACACTTATTTCGTCGCCCTACTCTCCCCAAACCCTACCCTAATTCTAATTTCCTCCAATCTAACTCTCACTACACTTATTCTGTGTGATTTTATTTATTGTAATTGTGATATGTTTGAATTTTCTAGAATGGTGTTTTATGTATGGATAATTTGTATGGGGAAATTGATGTTTGAATTTTATTTTGATATAAACTTCTTATTGTAAATTTTTTACCACAAAAATCCATGGTAACTTATGAACCCGCGGATACCCAGCGAGTTGGGTTGGGTTTGAGTTTTTCAAACCGAATAAGTTTTACTCCAAATTTTTTTTAACGAATAAACCCACGAGTTTGAATTTGACAATACTCGACTCAAACCCCACATTGCCATCCCTATTGCTCATGACACACTTTTGACAATGACACCATAATATTGGCCCTGGTAACTTGAGTCTTGGGCTTAGGCCACTCATACACACCACTACGTTAAAAATCAAATATCGTGGGTGTGGGCTCATTGGGCTACTTGAGGCCCAACTAACTGCTTTTAAATTGTTGATGCCGACATGGACATATATGTACATGCGTCAGTCGGTTTGAAATTATAAGCGAGCAAACCGCCGCCTCTACCTGACCTACTAATATCCCAAAGCCACAGCCAGCCCTCAAACGCGTCAGAATTCAATCTGAGAGCGGCGCTTCCGATTCGCCGGCGATGTCCAAGTATCTGGATCCCGATCTTGAATCCGGATCCGAAGAAGGATCCGAATCCGGATCCGAATCCGAAGAAGGCTTGAGCGACATCGACGATGACGAGATCTCCGATTGCCTGAACGACAAGAGGCTAACGGAACTGAAGGCGAAGGCTTGGAACCTGATGCATTGTCAATACACGAATAGAAAGCGAGACCTGGAAGCCCTGCCGGCCGATTCCATGAAGAAGGCCAAGACCGGTCCATCCGCTGCTCCTGCCGGGAAGGAAAATGAGAAGAAGGCGAAACCCACGCCGCCGTTGAGTTCGAAGATCAATTACGAAGCCCTGAAGAAATTTGCGGATGAGGAAGCAGCTGGTGGAGAGGATAAGAATGAAGAAGAGCGCGAGGAAGCGGAGAAGGTGGGATTTGGAGAAGACGGCAAGCATGATGAAGAAGAAGAAGAAGAAGAAGAATGTGGTGAGGACGACTGCGGAGATGGTTATGGTAATGATTATCAAAAAGAAGATGAGCAAGAATACGATGGCGACGGCTATTCCGAGAAAGAAGATGATGATGATGATGATGACTATGAACTCTACTGATCCTCTGTCAGATCCCTAAATTTTGTTCCTTTTTGCCCCCAACAATTTTGGATGTTTCTGATTCACATTAATGCATTTGGTAATTTATATTGAAGAAGACATGGCCTCATGTATCTCTGATTGTAGCTTCACTTAACCCAGAAGACGAATGTTTCGCAACAACGTCACACGTGAAGCAGTACCGATTAAGCATCTCTCAGCATTCGTAATTTCGATAAGTCAGGAATGGGAGCTCTTTCCCCGAGCTGATAATTAGTTACATACATGAGTTCCTGGAGGTTCAGGGTAAGGAGGAACAACACACAATAGAGAAGAAAGAAGCAATTGCAGATGGACAAAACCACAGAGGGGAGTGTATAAGTTGAATTCAGATGCTGGAAACAATGGCAAAGGGGAGATTGGAATGGGATGTATTGTTAGAGACTGCAATGGTAATGTGATTCCTTGCAGCAAACAGAACTGTCAAGGTTAAATAACCCGCTGATTTGGCTGAAGGAATGGCTATGCTGTTTGGTTTGCAGAAAGTGAAGGAATTGTGCATGAAAAATACACAGGTGGAATCCGACTGTATGAAGCTGATTAATATTTTGAAGGAGGAGGAATGCAGAACTGAGTTAGATCTTGTAGCCTACGAGGTGTCTTCTTGATTTCAATCAAATCACATCAGTTTTTCTCAAGAATTTTTTTTGAGAAAGGGACGGTTGAGAGAAAGGATAGTCTGGTCTGTCCGGATGTCGCCGTCCTGCGGTGGCCTTAATAACTCGATCACCTGATGAACGTAGGTGTCTATGGACCACCCAAAGGGTAATGAACAAAACATCAAACATGAACAAAACTTGATAAATCCAGAACAAGAATATTTCACATTAATGTCATACAGAAGAGGCAGGCGTAACAAGCAAGCGTTTTCAACGTAGTTGAAAAATGTACAACCCAGAAAAGTGCAGTCGGCCCTGATGTCATGGCCTAGTGGATGACCGACGACCCATATTGTTTTGGAAGCATAAAGTTATGTTCTGTTACCAATGCTCCCCCCCTTTATTCAGAGATTCTGAACCCACACAGCAAAATATTTACAGATGCAATGCAAATATCCAAATGTATTTTTCGAAACTTTCTTCTACTAATGCTGGCAAATTGGCACTCCATTATGGTACAGAGAAAAGCCAGAGTGGTGCGGGACTATTATGCCGGAACAGGTTCACCGACTTTCCCATTCTGTGCCGGAGCCAAGCTTTCGTAGTAATCAACCAGAACTTTCCATCCGCCAGGGCACATGAATCCGTCAGGCGGGTTCTCTCCGGTCTTGGCAAGGGTTCGCATCTGCAAATTCAAGTAAGCAAAAGCATAAACAACCCTTGGTTCATGATAAACAATTTGCTATGCAGTCAAAAACATTTGTTGCCTTGCTGACATCTATTTACCTTGGTGCCGGATATGAAGAGGAAGTCCTGAGCACGGGATGGATCGAAGAAAGCCATTTTGCCCTGTGTCTTGTCATATGCAGCAACCTGCAAACACATGTCCAATTCGTTCACAAAGGAAAATTCAGGAATTGTAGGGGATTGGTATGCAATATTGATTACTGAATGAACCCGGATCCTTTTATTATGTACCTTGAAAGGAAGGATGTTCAGCCGCTCCAGCCCGGGTGCCATACTCAGCACCTTCTTTCCATGGTCAGCATCATACAGATCTCTTTTTTCAACTGGGTGGCTCATTCCAGCCGGGTCCCTTCCCACTATGTAAAAGTTGGCTCCTGCATTGATCCGAGCTTTCGCATGCCACTGCACCTCGGTTGGACCGGCATAGTGCATTGGGGATGGGAATATAGAAACCACAGTTGTTTCAGGATCAAGCACACCATCCTCCAGCACCTGAGGATATGTGACAACAGAATTATTCAAACGCAAAATTAGCATTGCACTCGAACACTCCCACTGAAAAGCAATGGTGGAAAGGGTACAACACCAACCAACCTTTTCGTGCTGCTTCATTCGCCAGCTTAGCGGAACATCATCAGCCTTGGTGTAGCCTCCAAGTGGATGGAGCAGAAGGACTGGGTTCTTGTACCCCATGTCAAGAAGCCTCTTACGAGTATCTGTCATCAGCAAAGCATGGCCATTGTGCACAGGGTTCCTGAGCTGGAATGCAAACACAGCATCTGCATTCCGCCTCTCGAATTCCTCACGAAGCTCGGCTGGTGACAAACGAAAGCGATCCAGGCCATCATGGTACTTGATAGGCTCTATAACCTCTAGGTCCCCACCAATCAGCCAGTTCCCAGAACCAGTAATGGTTTGCTCAACATAAGGTAAACCAGGAGCAGTTGTTCCCCATGTTCTTGCTATCCTTTCTTCCTTGGGGTGCTTGTATATTTCAATACTGAAGACAATTAAAACACAAAACGATAATCAATATTAACATTTCTTGTTCGGTGGAGGAGATTCTCTAATCTAACACTGTCAAATGCTAATTCCTAAACCTCCCAACTCAATAGCATATTCGATTGATTGAATGAATCGTTAAGTCAATTAATTTGAGTTCCAGATTCATTCTACACACAGTAACCAAGTCTAATTGACAATGAATTAAGGAACTGGGTAAGCTTGTACTCGAAATCAATCGAATCTTTTTAAGAAAAAAAGTGGACAACTTTTGACTTACTCGTTCAAAACCGCGATGGTATTGTCGCTAGAGTCAACGAGGGCGACCCTTTTGGAGTCAGCGATCCGCTGCTTCTGCGAATCGTCGATGGCGAGCACAATCGGCACCGACATGTTGACAACCGATCCGTCCTCAAGACGGAGCGAGTTGAAATGAAGTGTTTGGAGGAACTCGGATTCTCTCATGAACCCGCGGAGGGGACTCGCCCATCCTTCGCTCAGCACGTGGACCCACTGAAGGTCGATGCTGGTCAGCTTCACCTTGGGGAGAGCCACCGCCTCCCTCCGCCAGACATCTCTCTGGGTCTTGTCGACAAATAGGTCCACCAGCTTCCCGCCGTCCGGCTCGATCAATCCGGCCCTGACCCGGACGGCCCTGCTTCGGGGTTTCGCCAAGAAGGAAACTTTGAGCGGCGGGGCGATGTGGGTGGTGAATGATTTGGGTAGCGCGCGTGCCGGGCAGTGAGTTTGAACGAAAATCGTTGACATTGAAGCCATGGAAGGAAAAGTTGAAAGAACCAGGGGTTCTGCAACTTGGGGAAAATTGTTTTCTCTGCTTCTCTGATCCCTCGCCCCTCTCAAACCTAATAGAGGGGAATCGTCGAATTAATAATAAGAGTAGTGGCTGGGTTGGAAGATAGACAGGAGCGCCGAGAGCGACAGAAATTTATAGGGTAAAGATCGGATTTTTATTTGGTGGAGGAGGAATGAACCTGGACGGTTTCACCTTCTCGTTCACTATTTTGGCTCTTGTCAAAAATTGCTACTTTACTTCTCAATCCCATTTCGCTGTTCTGCTGCCTGCCTCGAATGAACAGAAATCGTAAATTCGTAATTAGAGAGTCGTCGAGAGCCAGACGGCGCAGGGCTCTGTTTGAGTTGAAACCCGAAATTGCCCCCACTCCTGCCGTACGAGGTATTTGTTTTGTACTTGTGAGTTGTGAAACTGAAACAGAGTTTGGTCACGTTTTGAGTTGGGACTTGGGAGGTGGCTGTGGTTTGAGTTTGAACAGGTTTGACATGGTGGGCCCCAAGCAAGAATCAAATCATTGCCCGCCCGCCATTGTCGAGGATCTTCGTCTGGTTAGGGCTGGCTTTGAGTCTTTGACATGGGCCTAGGATCCAATATTGGTCCAGTCCAACGAAAATCATCAATCAAAGGATGGATGATTATGTCAAAAACTCAAAATACTTTACCAACTCATAAAATCATGGCACAATGAATTGCTACAATGGTGGTAGAGGTAGTAAATGATTATATCTATGTACATGATCATCTCTTACCATGAAGTTATAATGGTACGGGGTGGTATAATGTGGTATGATCAATATCAAAAGTACATTACGATGATCTAACACGTTGAGTTACCATGGTGGTATAGTATGGTATAATCATATCATTATACATAGCCACCTCTTCTCATGAAGGCTCAGTGAGTTACTATGGTGGTATGAGCTGGTATAGTGTTGTATGATCATATCATAAAACATTATCACCTTTTACGACTAAGACACAATGAGCTACTATGACACAATACTTTACCACCTCCTACATTCATGGTGGCACATATATATATTTGGATTGTAGCATGTTGATCAACGATGTTTCATTGGAGATTTTAAAGCTTGAAGATTTCATTTCAAGAGAGAGGAGTGAAAGATGAAAATATATTTAAACTACAGTATGTTGACGAACGATGTTGCGAACAGATTGTAGCTTGTTGATGGACAATTCTTCAATTGAATGTTTTGATGTTATCTTCATAGTTCATGAGATTTTGTTTCAAAATTCAAAGTCATTTGACTAAGGAGTGGAAGTGGAAGATGGAGAGTTTCAAGTTTGATGAGACGGAGTTGAGGTAATGTGTTGCTAGCGTGGAACATCATTACATCGACGATTTTACATTTCTGTCCTTCTGTTTCCTCCGGATCAATATAGAACGATTGCAAATTTGCAACTCATCTACAATGAAAAATTGCTGGATAGCTTAACATAAAAGTTATTGACCTCATTCAGACCCGCCAATAATTAGCCATTTGAGATTCAAGAGGGGCTAGTTCCAGGAATCTTCGGACTTTGGACTAAATTTATCCACTACTTTGAAAAAGAAAGCGCATTTGATCTCTTCTTTGTTTGTATTTGGGCTTCTTTTTCTTTGTTAATTTGAGCACTCTATCTGTTTCAATTATTTTGAAGTGTATAATAGCTGGTTTCGGAGGTAGATTCAGAGGGTCCTAAGAGGGGAATGAAAGGCCAAGTTTTCATTGGACTCTCTCACTCGCCTGATAGGCTGCTTTCTCACTTAGCGGAGGAGTCAAATTTCCACCAAACTCCAATCACTTCAACAAAGACACATCACGTTAATCGTCGTTCTCATTGTTGTGTTTCTCGTTTGGTGTTTTGTGGTTGTGGGCACTTTAGACTAGAGTTGTTAAATTTGATTGGATTGTAATTAAATGATAGATTGGTGGATTGAATTCATGGATCCAAATAACATCCAAATTTTGGATCATTATGTAAATTTTGAAAAGTTAAACGGTTAAACTGTCATTATAAACAATCAGATACCAAAATGAAATTTTTGAATGATAGGAATTTAGAATGGAAGTCGTGGATTCGAACAACTAAACCTAGACCTGAAACATATATTACCCTTATCAAACGCTAATTTTTTTAAGGTTTAATAGCATTTTGTACCTCTATTATTGTAAATTAACAAATATACCCCTCTATTAAATTTTTGCACAAACATACCCTTATAATATTAAAACGTAACAAATATGCCCTTCTGTCCAATTATTCGTTAAACGACCATTTAATGAGCCACGCAACCCAAAGAAAGAAGACAGGGGCTGCGGGATCTTTGATTTGGCGGCGGCTGCTGAAATGTAGAGGGGATATCAGGCAACATATTTCTAGGCAGGGGGCTTCTCTACTTTGGGATGAGGCTCCCATGCCTCGATACTATGTCAAAGAGTTTGGGAGACTATACGGCCTCGTAGTCCGCTTGTCCCCTCGTATGAATTGATATGGAGTAGGGAGGTGGTTCCAAGACATGGACTCATATTGTGGCTAGATGTGATGAGGAGACTGCGTACCATGGATAAACTTCTAGCTTGGGGGAAGCTTGTTTCGGGCTGTTGTATGATGTGCCCAGGAGGGGTTGAGGATTGCTTTCACCTGTTTTATGTTTGTCCCTTTATGCAGTTTGTGGTTAAAAAATGTATGCTTACTCTTGCTCCTGTTGCTGGCCCGCAAACGTGGGAGGAAGTGGTGGAGTGTTGTGCAAGCAAATGGAAGGGCAGAACTCTTGAAGTTATTGCGAGTCGTGCTAGTTGGAGTCTTGCTGTAAGCCTCGTATGAAGAGTGTCGAACTGGGTCGCTCAATTAGTACGATATTGTCCGCTTTAGGCCAAGCCCTCACGATTTTACTCTTCGGTGTCCTCCCCAAAAGGCATCGTACTAATGAGCTTGGTGGACACTAATATACAAGGGTTCCTTCCCTTGTATTACCGATGTGGTACTTGAATTGTCCCATAACAATTCTTCCCTCAAGACAAGGACCACGAACTTCGTGTCCTCACCTCGGCGATTATCTTGATCCGCAAGACACCTTGTATCGATGGGCTTCTCGGTACGCAGAACTCTCTTTTGATCTGCTTCTCAAATCAAACGTGGATCTCTCCTGGATGCACCAAACAGACGCGAATCACCTTTGACCCGCCAGACAAACGCATATCTCAAATCCCGAGGCCACCGAATGAGAGTCCCACCAAACTGACGTCCACCGCCCCGAACCAGGCTCTGATACCACTTGTCGAACCAGGCCACTGAATTATTACGATATTGTCCGCTTTGGGCCAAGCCCTCACGGTTTTACTCTTGGATGTCCTCCCCAAAAGGCCTCGTACTAATGAGCTTGGTGGACACTAATATACAAGGGTTCTTTCCCTTGTATTACCGATGTGGTACTTGGATTGTCCTATAACAGAGAGAACGTTGTTCGCGGGTATATGGGGTAGCAGTTGTGCGTGCCCCTGAAGTCTTGTGTCAAGAAGTCTGCAGAATTTTGTATTGGAGGGTTGAAGGTGATATGGATTTGCATAAGAGTCTTCATGTTATTGGTCTGGATAGATAGAAATGTGTATATGTTGTCCTTTACATGAGCGGTTGTATTTGCTTGAGAGGCTCTCAAAGGAGTTTTTTCATTCCTTTGAGAAGCTTGAGTTTAATGCAATTTTTGATTAACCATAAAAAAAACATTACCTAGTTGCCCCTCATTTACTTTTAATTTCATTTTAATTTTTTTTCCATCCCAACTCTATTAAGAAAATAAAACTAATCCATCCATGACCCTTCTGTCTCCCTCAAGCAGCCCACTCTCTTCAATCACGGTGTCGGCTACTCCTAGCTTCTCATCGCTTTACAAAGCCTGGGATTCTCTTTCTTGCACCATTTGTGAAAATAGTTGCAGTTCTTGGAGATGAGGTGATAAGTGTCTCTGTGATATTTGGAAGCCATATCCTCTCTGAAAGTCTTGAACTCTATAGCGGCATCATTATAATTAGTCCCCATTGGGATGAAACATCTGTAAATGTAATCGGGTCAGTTTCTTGGCTTGACTTAAAAATATCCACTAATTAGGAACTCATGTGCTCTAATACTCCTTTTGATGAACTTCAATGCCGGAATGGAAAATCCTGAAACTGAACCAGTAGGTGTAATTGGTGACATTGGTAAGATCGTAGACATACAACATCGCAAGGGTTTCTGCACTATCGTTCGAATTCCCCTTCTCGGAACCCGAAATGGTTTCAAACCCCATTCGCGCCCCCGGTACTTTCTGCTCCAGCTGCCAACGAGATTGAGGGGGTAGGCCTCGGGCGGAGCATTTATCGGTAGGGAAGACTTCTCGGGAGGCTTCAAGGAGACCGAAGGGTCGTGAGTGGAGGGGATTAGTTTAGGGATTAGATTTATATTTTAATTGAGTTGGGACATAAAAAAATTAAAATCAAATTAGCAGTAAATGAGGGACAGTTAGATAAATTCTCAGCTCATTAAACGGTTGTTTAACGGATAATTGGACGGAAAGCTACATTTGTTAATTTATAAATAATAGAGGGTACAAAATACTATTAACTTTCTTTTACTAGCAAATCCTATAACTAAGTGGCATAGTTAGTAAATACTCCATTTAATACACATATATGTACCTGTACGTATTTTATCCGTTTAAAACTTCTGTATCCGTATTTTTGTCAAGCCGTTTCATTTCTTTTCGTTCATTTGATAGCTCCCGTACTAAACACGTATAGAACCCGTATAACACGTTTAATATCCGTATTTTTAAAATAATTAATTATTATATATTTATTATCATTAACATACTATTAAACATAACATTAGCTTAGAGTTGAAGTAAAATATCCATATGTATTTTATACGTAACTTTCCCGTAACGTATTTTACTAACTATGCTAAGTGGTGAGGATAATTTTTTTGAGCTACTAATTCATCATCTGCTACTTCCACAACTTCGCAAAACCAATTTATGAGACGAGAGAATGATTCACAAAACTCTGAAATATGCTCGCCTCCATACCCTTATCGGTCATTGGCACAATCTAAAGATATCTTCCTGTGTCACCTCCAGCTCAATACTCCCAGAAACTGAGATGTTTAGAAATACAGTGAGAAATCCGATTAACACCGCCAATTTACCAATAATCCAAACAAGAACATGTCCCATATCTGAAGTGATGAAACCTACTTCGATCCCTTACTATAACTTCTCTCCCATAGACCCGAGAAATAAGCTTAAGACTCTCATGGCAATCCCCACAAACCCGAAGGTTCTTCATTATTCTCACAGCAGGAGCATCCGAACGACCTTCATCGGCCACCGACAGAGAGAATGCAATCGCCAGCCTCTCGCTGAGTACGACGGGTCATCTTCTTTCTCTTCTTCCTCTATGTCGAACAACACTTCCCTCGTGTTCGGGTTGTGACCATGTTCTTGCAACCTCATGTTCATCTCCTCCACCATGGCGAACACGTCACTCGAACATGGGTGCGTCCTGTCTCCCGTTATGAACTCGTGCATGGTGCCACCAATCTCCACCAGTGAGCTGCCAGGGAACTTGATGATCCCTGCCTCTTTCATGGCCTCTCTGACCTTCTTTACCTCTTCCCATTTGTTGGTTGATGCGTACATGTTCGATAACAGCGCGTAATTCCCACTCTTCTGTGGCTCGAGCTGCAGCAGCTGTTTGAGTGCCATTTCCCCCAACTGCAAGTCTCCGTGGATTCGAGCCCCTGCCAAGAGAGACCTCCATATCACTGCATTTGGCTTCACCGGCATGTCTTTGACCCTTTCTTTAGCTTCATTGAGTCGGCCATTGCGAATCAGAAGATCAACTACACATCCATAGTGCTCAACAGTTGGTTTAATCCCATAAACTTGTTTGATGGACTGAAAGATCTTCTGGCCTTGCTCTACCAACCCGCTATGTGAACAAGCAGACATCGCGAAGACGAATGTTACATTGTCAGGAGCTAGGCCCTCAAGTTCCATCTTTTCGCAAAGCTCAAGAGCCTGCAACCCATTTCCATGCATGGCAAAGCCTCCAATCATCGCGTTGTAGCACAGGGTATCTCTGTGAGGCAATTGGTCGAACACCTGCCGTGCAAAATCCACCCGCCCACTCTTGGAATACATCTCGATTAGAGCAGTACCCACATAGCGATTCAAATTCAGCCCGCTCTTCAGCACTAGTCGATGCGCCCACGCACCTTGGCCGAGAGCGCCCAAATTAGAACAGGCGCCAATAACAGCCACTAGGGTGACTTCATTGGGCCTAACATTAGCATTCCTCTGCATCTCATGGAATAGATGTAAGGTCTCAATGGAGACATCAGTTTCGTCACTGTTCTCCGCAGCTCTCCGCGCATAAGCAGCTAGAATAGAGTTCCATGACGCCAAATCAGGCCGGCTGATTCGATCAAACAGTCGTCTCGCGGGATCCAGCTTCCCACAATTGGCATAGTAATTCAGCAACGAGGCCTGAACAAATTGATCATAGGGAGGTTCAAGAAATTTGAACACATGGGTATGAAGAGCCAGGCCATGTCGAACCCACGGGCGAAACCCACAGGATTTGAACAGAGATGGGAAAGTGAAGCTATTGGGCGCGACGGTCGGGTGATGCAGAGCACGATCGTAGAGGGAGAAAGCGAGATGGGTCCGGTTTGTGTGATTGGCGAAGCAGGAAATGACGGTATTGAAGAGGAAAATTGTGGGGTTGGGTATCTGATTAAAGATGCAGAGAGTGTGAGCCGGCGGAGAGGATGACGATGAAACGAACAGAAGGCGGCTGAGAGGGTAAGTGTAAAGAGCGAGGCCGGTGACGAGCAATTGAGCATGGACTTGCCTGAGATTTCCGAAGGTCTTGCATCTTTCCAGTAGCTGGAGAGTAGGGTGGGAGGAGAATATGGCGATGCTTGATGATTTCATGGGCGAGAGGAGAACAGCTCTCCCTCTGCATTGCGGCAAATCGTCGAGCAGGTGTCGAGCGGGAATATGGTTTCCCTATCTCCAAGTTTCTGATTGAAGAAGAATAGAAGACTACGAGATGAGCTGAATGAAGTGATCGGTTTATAGGTACAAATTCTGAGGCCCACTTCTAAATCCCCTCCCGAATCGGGCTCGTGATACCCAAGCCCAAGACAATTACGGTCCAATCCATATATATGAAGCCATATGGCAGTAATGGCAACAACAACAACAACAAAAAAAAACAAGAAGGAAAAAAAGCCCATTCAGCAGCCAGTTCAGTCATCAGTGCAAGGATTATTTTTTTGTAGAAAGAAAGACACCATCAGGCATCAGCTACGTATTAGCAATACCTTGATCCATGGCAAATTGGCAATGACTATGGGCCGCTATAATTATCCAAGAAGATGCTGGAAACTGGAAGGATAAGTAAACGCATTCAGTGGACTGCCGAGAGCTACAAGTCCCACGACACAGGAACGGAATTCTCTAAAAAGGCAAGGTCGGAGTTTTCATAAAATTGTACATCTCGTGATAAAAGAGGAAATCCAGATGCATATGAACTATCGTTCTTTGTTATTGTCGATTTTATAAATTTGTTATTCAGACATGTCCTAGAAGCTTATATTGAATAAAAAATGACATTTTAAGGGTTATTTTCAATGTCATGCATTCTACCGTTATTGATAATTTTACACGTAAATATATGAGGAGAGAAGGGTGTGTTATCTGAGTATATGAAACGGTGCGTAGAGTAGCGAAACTTGTTAACTGCTTATCGTTTTTGTTCATTCTGGTCTAATGATAGATAGGAGAGATAGAGTTTTGTGTTAAGTAGATCAATCCTTGCTTAACTTTCTGCTATTTTTCAAAGAAAAATTGAACAATGGAACTTGAATGCAAACCAAAAAGGATGAGGGTAAAATATCTCGGATACCACTTAAATTTGAGAATTGGAGTAGGCATACCACTTAACTTTGAATAGGGCGTCGTGTACCACTGAACTCATATGTGCACCCTGTACCACTTAAGTTTATTGTTAAGTGCATTTCGTTAAAGTTGATAGAATATTCTTGAAATATTCCATTTTCTGAATTTCATAATAGGCCCTTCAACTTTTCTTATTGTAAAAAAAAATGGAGTACTTATGAAAATATCATTTTTTATTTTTTAGTTAGAATTCTCTTTTGAATACTTGATACCAAGTTTGTCAACCCGCTGGGTGACCCGGACCCGGTCGAGTTAGTGGGTCAAGGGTTAATTGGTCACCCGGTTTAGCCCGGAAATATGGAAAAAATCATTATATTGTACTTATCCTGATAACTTATATTAAATATCATCTAACATATGAGTTATAACATATAATATTACACCAAAATAACATTTCATACTTAGATCCAACATATAGTGAAAATTCACACACACTTATATAATATCAATATTCAAATGTTCAACTTAGGATTTCAAAGATTGAGTTAAGCGAAAAGAAAAATCGGAAAATAGGCGCATTTCGCAAAACAAAGAAAAAAATGAGCTTGTAGCGGTCGACCCAGTGGGTGAGTGAGGCCCGTTTTTCTCACCGGGCCCGAGTCAACGTGGGTCGACCTGCGGGTTGACAACCTTGCTTGATACCAAACCAATTTTTGAATATAAATTTTAGAATCAATTATCAATATAATTATTTTTAATTATCATTATATGTTCTAATAATTGAATTATTCCATGAATGTTGTAGATTTTATAGTCATATTTTCTTTTCTACATTTTTTATCGAATGTTGTAGCTTTTATATTTTGTTTATTACTTGGTTACTTTTCATCTCTTTTCGTTCTAAATTTTTTCAACTAGTGAAATATGTTTAATTCTTTATGATTGTGTTTCATTTATCCATTTTTTATTTTGATGTATTGATGATCAATTAGATTCTATCTTAACTATTTTATTTTGGTGAAACTATTTTAACTATTTCTAATAGTGCTTCTAATTGAATTAAGGGGTTTAAATAGATATTCTAATATTTATTATTATATTCTAACATATTATTATTCTTCTTGATATTCGTTTACTATTTTTACTAATTTATCTATTTTATTGAAATTTTTGATTAGTCATTCTAGTAATAATGTGTTTAGATGGTTTTCTAATTATTATATTATATTATATTAAAAAAATATTATATTAGATAAAACTTGTTGAAATATAGTTTTGGATGTTTTTAAAATTTTTGGTTATCAAAAAAGTAATTAAAAGTTTGGATTGGATGAAAAAGTAGACAGATGCACATTTTGGCAACTTTAATGGTAACCGACGCTCTATTCAAACTTAAGTGGTATGTATATTCCAATTTCCAAACTTAAGTGACACTCGATATATTTTACGAAAAGGATGACAATATGGGCTTATTTAAATCATTCAAATGTAACTTTATGTCACTCTGCTCAGCCATATAGCTAGGATACATTAACTACTGAACTGCTTTTACACAATTGAACTACTGAACTTGGCCATATATAGGTCAGATTTAAGTGCCAAACACGAAATATACTCACAATATCTATCAATTTAACTTCAAACTTTAATTCTTTAAATTTGGACCTAACCTAGCTCCAAATCAGACTATTACTTTGTAAAAGTGACAAAATAATATTGTCCGTACACTAATTATTATGAGTCTGCTCCTAATTAGGGCTAGAATTCCAGTATCAAATGATATGAAGATCAGAAAGCTAAGTGATTTAATCAAAAAGTGATCACAAAATGTCACTTTTGGTTGTAGTGTCGAATAAAGTTTCACTGTAGTGGCCGAACTTTATACACGCTCGACGCTTAAAAACTCGCATCAACACAAAGTCTCTTCTCGCAACGGATATGCACAATGCATAAACACAGGCATGAACTTAAACAAATCAAAAGCACTGTACACAAGAACTTCATAACTTCAAGGACTGTGTAAAGCATAATAAAAACACAAAGAGGCTTTAACGAGGAAGAATCTAATCTCCATTTCTGCGCACTCCAACACCAAAGATCCACATGCAGGCCAAGCAAGCATGCTTGCTGCCGAGCCGAGCTATTCTCTCTTGTATATAAATAGAGACATGAAACTTTGGGGAGGGAAAAAAGACTGCAAAAAGGAAAACTGAAGCCACGAGACATGACAAGCCAATTCCTTTTGGCGGGGCAAATAAACTCAGAAAAAAACCCTAACCCCAAGATTCCTATAATATAGCAAAAGCAGAGCCCTGTCGTGGTCTGTTGTCGCCACCATTTATGCACTGCACTGCACCGCCCTAGCTAGAACGATAAAGCTCTCTGGTCTCTCAAATTATATATCTATTGGGTTCCGAACTAAAGCTCTGAATTGTGCTCTCTGAAGCTCGCCAACCAATACTGCTACAGAGACGAGGCGAGTAAAGAGAAAGGCGCGGCTTGTTGTTTTACATATAAATTTGATGAGGTGATTATGGAAAGCCGCATGTGTGTGATTAGCGACAAGTTCCAGCCTTTTTTCCAGCTGAATTGTTCTTTATGGTTTTGTTAATGTTAGGGCTGAGATTTGGGGTGATACTGGTGGTGTGTGATTATTGCGTTAATAATTGGAAAGGACATTTGTTTTTAATAATGAATGAATGGGATACATGTATCTTATATATCCATGTAATAATTACTTTTTACTGTTTTACAAGCACAAAGAGATTATCATTATAACAATAATGGTGGCTTCTATATATCCATCATGCACCTGGTGCGTAGCCAGAATTTTGTCGAGAGTGGGTCAATTTAGAAAAAAAATACATACGATAAAATAATTTTATTATCGCTTTTAAATAATTCATGATATAATATTATATTTACAAAAACTTGGTAAATTAAATATATGTCTAAACAATCAAGAATATCACTCAATATGTGTCAACCAATTATTAACGATTCAGTTAGACATTTTATTTTGAATGGTGTTCTTCGTCACGACTGTTTAGTATAAATAACTCGAGTTGTTGTGAAAGATTTAATAATGAATTTATACTATTTAGTATTTATAACACTTCTCCGCTAACGATAACCAACTAATACATGCTTAAATTTTTTGAAAATCTGAATATCATGTGCTTAACAAATGGAGTCGCCAAGATTCGAACACATGATTTTTCGGTCAACCATTCTCAATTAGAAGTGCGTTAAATTTCATTCTCAATTAACTATTATACTCTTTTAGTCGGTTTTGTCCTTAAGAGTCGCCCGTTACACTCTCCCTAACCTTGATTGAAATGATCCGCCCAAAATTAGCTATGCTTTGATAGAAAATTATTCGAGATATTGGACATATAAACTTTAATTTTGGGCGGATCATATGCACCATTTTCATTTGTATATAACTCGTTATAAACACATTAAATTTGTTAATACACAACTTATAAATCATAAATCAAATATTTGAAATGCCAACCATTTTTTATTCAATACATGTTATTTTTTATACCGAATTAACTATTATACCTAATTTACAATTGTGGACTAACACACATTGTGTTAGTGAACCACGTAAATCCATGTATCGTATTCGTTATTACTTTCATTTTCTTGCCTGTAGATTTTCTAATTTCCTGATCCGTGAAAACAGTCGTGACAACAACAAAATCTCCATCAATGGATGGATGATGAGGGAGGGAGAGAGGAAGTGTGGTAGGGCACTGGGAAAGTGGGTGATATATGGGACAATTATATTGTTTGGTCTTTCATTATGGTTCAACTTCAAATCTTTTTAGTGTTACCTACCAGTGCATGGCGATATATAGTGGTCTCCAGCCCCGCTCGACCCAACTTTTTCCAGTGTAATTATTAAAGTTCTGGACTCGACTGCACTTATTTGGATCATCAGAATTGATTGCAATGATGATTAACCCGTGTAACTAGCTTGCGAAATGATAAAAAGAGAATATGAGAAAAAGGTAACCAGCAAT